CAAACAAAATCCGAAATATCCCGACAAAGTTTTAGTCCAAAAACTATCACATCAATTATGGAGACTAGACTTTAAAACAAGATTAAATTTAGAAAAGAAGCCATTTTCGAAGCCACTGAGGGAAAAAAATATTAAAATCAATCAGAAACGTAATTGGTCTTACTGCATATAACCGTCAACGAAAGTTGGTAAATATTCAATTCAATTATGCGCATATTAAAATGACCGCGTTCATTCTGAAAAAGCATCCGTGAAGTGAATAAACAAGATAAAAACAAAAAAAAAAATATTTAATTTGCATGTTTTGCCTGCAATGGAACTCGAACCCTGACCTTCTCTTCAACAAAAGGTGGCAAGCATCTTTGCGCACTCAGCTACAGCGACAGATATAAATGTGCTTTCAATTGTTGAATTTCCATGAACACCTGAATTCCTTAGTCACACTGCTCAAAAAATCTGAAAGTCTGTTACATACACAATATAAATTCAAGGCCGTATTTAAGAAAAGTCGTACATATAGCGCAAAAACCCACCAGCCAACATTACAGAAAGACAGTTGACGTACCAGTTAAGCTGCTTAGTAAATAAGTAGTAAGCAAGTTCAGAGCTCGTAAGTTTGTCTGCTGGGTTGTTATAAAACTTAAAATCGCTAGCATTATTAACGCGACACAAAGGCACAATGAAAGTTAAGTAGCATGGCGACTGCGCACTGCCTGCACAATGACCAGCACTAGACGGTCTCGCTTCCTCCACGCACGTCAAGGCGTTACATCCTTAGCAGCAAAAATGGCAGTTGGCAAATACTTTCCACAAATTATTGCTCGTACGAACAGTCAACAGCCACTGTGGTTGAGTGGTTAGAGCTGCGTACAAGCACTCCGTAGGAGCTGGGTTCGATCACCAGTCCGAGCAACATCTAAATTACAAAAAGTTGTTTTCTGAAAGCTGTCGCCCCCGGCAAGCAATGGCAAACCTCCGGGTATATGTATTTCTGCCATCAAAAAGCTTCGCATAAAATCCATTTGCCTTTCGGAGGCGGCGTAAAACTGTAGATCCCTCCATTTGCGTAACAACACGAAGACACACAGCACAAACTGGAAAAAAGTTTGGCCAAATACTTGGCAAAAGTGTAAGCGTCAAACTGTTATTATTATTAGGAACAGTTAACATTGTAGATAGGCGTCATTCGCTTAGCTGATTTGTAATTTATAAATATTTCATATTTTCCGTGAAATGTTGTACAACAAAACATTACTACAATAAAAAGGCGTGTAATAGCTGTCGCTAGGCAGACGGACACACAACACCAATAGCGCGATTGAACGGCCGAAATAGTAAATGAAAAACAAAAACAACAAAACGAAAAGAATGCAACTACAACAACGTCCGAACAAAAGACAATTGCTATAGCGAGGCGTAGTCAAATCGCCCAAGCGGTAACCACGCTACACGCTTTTACCATTACACCAGCGCTGGTGAGCGCTTAAGACCTAAGCAATCTAGTAGAGAGCCAGGCGCTTGGTCAGCAGCTAGATCGCGCATAACATTCGGGCGGCCAGCCGGCCAGCCAGCAGCAGCCCGCAGCCAGTGCTACCGTAGCTGATAATTTCAATTGATTAATTGCCACTTTATGGCGAATTGGCCAATTTATCAGCGCGTAGTCATCATGCAACAACAAGAACAACAACAACAGTGCCTAGCTTAGGTGTTACTAAAGTTTGCTTGCTGTTGCTTTTGCTATTTCTACCATTTTATTTTATTATGCATTTTTCGGCGGTGGCAGCAGCAGCGGCCTCACCTATTCCAGTGCAGCGCCGCAAAGTGGCCCGCATTCCAAAGCCACCGCGCGCTTAATCGCATATTTAATCGCATTCATATGCGCGCCAGCAGGCAATAGTGCAGAAAAACAGTAACAACAACAACGGTGAGCGCTCGCGCTACAATAAAAGCAGTGCTATTTTAAAACGCAAGCAACAACAACGACAGCAGCACCCTTAAGCTAGAAACTTTAACTAAAACTATTGCTTGTCATTCTCTTTCTGCTCCACCACTGTCGCTACTGCCCTCTCCAACTTTTGAAAGCAATGATTTCGCGCATGCGCAAATGCTTTTCGAAAGCACAATCGAACTTAGCTATGTTTTTTAATACTCCACAATACATATTCGCCTGTTGTCTTACCCCATAGCCTTTAGTCTCAACACTGCGTTTTGCATTTTTTTAAATAAATTATTAAATAAAAACCTTTCTAGGCGTTGCAGACAGCAAACTATTTCCTATTTTAAAAACAAACACCTACACGGTCAGGTAGACATACAAAGTAGCGCACAAGCCAAACGATATCATTATCGTAACGGTAAAAATGTAGCTACACCCACCAGCGGGCCACAGCGCTACTAAACTATGGCCACACACATCCATACATACATACACTCCAACACACTTGAATAGGAACAACTTTGTAGAGAATAAAAAGTCATAAAAATTGCAAAGGCATGCTCCCATTTTTTATATGGGAAAAGTTGCGGAAGAGCGTCTGAGGAAAAAGTTTGGAATTTTGATGAAAATATGACGATTTTTTTTCTAATTTTTTGCAAAGTTTAAAATGTGCATTTATATGGCTTTGGTTAAAGAATGAATTGTATTTGAATTGAAAAATAAGTTAATCGAAAAAATAAATATTTTCAAAGCGAGCTTTTTAAATATGAACGAAATCGGAACATAAATATTGGTTTACCAAATATATCGACTCGTGCGCCACCTATCGGACAATTTTTTTTTAGTAAATTTATTCCTTTTCATGTAGTTAATATACGTTCTAAATATGAACCAAATTGGACTATAAATACGGGCTTTTTAAATATCTCGACTCCTCTGCCACCTATCGGATTAACTTATATTTCGTAGTGTCATCGAGTTCTGAGCCAACTGTGAATTTTCAAGTCTCTAGGTCATTGAAAAGTTGGTAAAAAATTCATTGCAAGATCTGCCCCAAACAAACATACATACATACATAGATACATCCATACAGAGTAAGATAAAAATAAAAGCTTGTGATAATGTAAAGTAAATAAAAGAAAAATATTCTAGAAAAAAAGCGAAAGGGCATTGTGCCTATTCCAGTGCATAGGAGTGTACCTCCTACTGCTGTTGCTCCACCTAACCACCGAGTCAGCCAGTCAGTGACTTCTGTTTGCCGCTTTTGGCAATTTAATTAGCTGTGCAAACGAGATTAAAGTGGACACAACGCTTTTGCCGTTGCTGGTGCTATTGTTGTTGTTATGTTTTGCAAGTAATGCAAGTAAATGCAATTATTTAATTTTACTGCAGGCGAATTTTCGGAGTGAACTTGTTTTATATTTCTGAATATTTATTGGGAAATTAAGTTATCTTCTCAAAATTGTTGATTTGAGCTTGAGCTTTTAAAGTTTGTTAAGCAAAAGCTTCGTTTAGTTGATGGAGCTTTTGTAATGTTTGTTATTAAATATTTTCTTTTTAAGATGTCTTGTTCAATCCTCAAAAATTACATAGTGCGGCTCTTTTCACTAGCCGAAGAAGAATTGATGTTAAAACACCCCCGCGGATCCGCCACTGACTGACAAGTGGTTTAAGACCCAAACCCAAAACCAAATCATTGAGTAAAGGTGAGTGGACAAAAGAGTTTGCTTTTGCAGTGATAGCCAAGCTGCACTAAAGCACTAAAGACTCTTTCTAAAACTGTTTTTGTTGATGAATTTAAATACAACAATAACGTTAGTTTTTACAACAAAGTTGTCTTTTTAAGTATCTGAGGGCAAGGGCCTATTTATAAGGGAAAATGCTGGTTGCGGAATTTTCTACGCAGGCTTCAAAACTTCTGCTTACGCGTCTTCTGGTTTGTCTGCAACATCAATAAAATAGCACATGGGTTTATACCCAGTCTAAGTTCGTCCTTACCAAAATAAATACAAATTTTCAGTAGTAGTATTAACTATAAGCGACGTTTTCCAATCTTTTGTGCAGGTCTTGTCTGGAGGATGAAGACAATGGTAAATACTTTATCAGCAGTTGTCCGGCGCTCTTTAGCCTCAGGAATTGGAATTTTACAATGATTTGGTCGAAAATAGTGGTTTACTTGCTCTCTTTGGAATTTTTTAATTTGGCAAAAACTCTGAAAGATTTCACAGAGAGGTGTTCACTTTGGCACAATGTACCAACTGTAGTTGAAATCTGGGGGTTGTTGCCGAGAAAAAATTAGTTTTTTTTTTTATTGAAGTCTTATCTTAGCCTTCCACATCCCACCGAAATAGCTCCAAAGTATGCTTGATGGGTTTAGGCATTGAAATTTGGTTGAAACACTTGGCACATTGTGGTCTACTATGCAAGCTGATTGAATATTCGGTTTTACCGGGGTGATACATAGCCCCGATTTTCTGTGTTTTTTGGGTTGTCGTAGTAGATCCAACTTTCGCCTCCTTCACGATTCGTATAGCTGATCTTATTTTGTAGGATTGCGCGTATTGTAACTTGGATTCTTTATGTCACTTATTCCTATTCCTGCTTTAAGATTATTGCGTATGGTTGGTTAGTTGACAGCGTTGCTTGACCTTTTCGCTTAAAACTATTTCCTTAAGACCGATTCTTTACTATTTTCGAGCATGCAGCTTGTACGACAGGTGAATTTTAGTTGCATAACTTGAGGGGACAGAACCTTATAATCTTCTTTAAAGATTTATATTGCTGAAGTTCTTAAGGGCCCTTTAAAGTGTTACATCTGCTTTCAGGCAATTCAGTGCAGCTCTTTTTTT